GGGGGGGGGGAGAGAGGGGAAGGAAGAGGAAGGAAGAAAAAAACGACTGACTGGTTGAGTGGTGGGGATAAAAAAGATGACAGCAGCAGTTTTTAATAGTTTGGCTTAATTTGATGTCTCTTCAAAAGAACAAAAAAAAACTGACTCTTCTACAATTGTCCAGTCTAACTGCTTGGTAAGCAAGAACTTTTTTTTAAGAACAATACATGTTTACGGGTGTATGTATGTATGTATGTGTGTATATATATATATATAGTTATGTGCTTGATTCCATGTATCTATTCTGATAATAGTTGTTGTTTTTTGGCTTTTCTCTTGCTGCTCCAGAAGCACTTCAGTATTGCTGTCAAGTAAATATCAAAAATAGCAGATAAAAGAGTTAAAGAGTCAAAAAAAAAACGAAAGAAGCAAATGAATTGATCAGAAAAGTGAAAAAAATTTAAAGACCTGTTTGAATTGCTCCTCATAAGACCAATTCTGTTGGCCACTCACATCGGAATCAGCATTGTCATCACCGCCAATATCTTTCTTATCTTTACGCAACCTTAAACAAACATTAACAAATTTTTTTCTTGTTTCCATTGACTTTGACTTTTTTTCTCCTCTTTTTTTTCTTTTTTTTTTTAAACTGCTTTTTGCAGTTGTATAAAGAAAAAAAAAATAACGAAATAATCAAAACTTTTTGTTGAAATTGTTGTAATACGGTCGTCTCTCAGTCACTGTTAGCAGCTTTAAATTTAGTTACAGCAAAAAGTAAATTGAGGTTTTCAAGATGATAATTTTTTTTTTTTGAAATCCTATTGTTACCCGATAGTTAAATCTTCAGGTTCAGTAGAACCCAAATTTTCTGGATCTTCTTCATCGTCCAAATCTGGTGATACATCAGATCGTTGTTGGTTTGCCATACCTAACAACTGCTGATGGATAGACAACGGATTCTGCTGTAGTGCAGCCAAAAATGGAGGTAAAACATTAATTGGAAATGGTGGCCGGAAGCCGAGATCTGTAAAATTATATTATTCTTATAAGCAAAAAAAAAAAAAAAAAA